TGTAGTCCTAACTGATACAGCTACAGTGTAGTCCTAACTGATACAGCTACAGTGTAGTCCTAACTGATACAGCTACAGTGTAGTCCTAACTGATACAGCTACAGTGTAGCTCCTCCAGCTAATGCTTAGGGAGCATCACAGACAACAGAGTGGACAGATTGTAAGAGCCAGAGGCCCGGGATATCTGCTGCAAGATTGTGTCTTCTATTGGCAGGGAAATCTCAGCAATATGGTCACCTCACTAAATGATGACATCACCAGCTGACATGCCAACATGAAGATGACGTCACCATTTGACATGCCAACCTGAATGGGGAAAATCTCACATGCCCCCCACCCCGAGCTATAGTAATTGATAGGTGCTGAGACAGGTGTAGTAGTTCACCACATTGTGTGTTCATTTTTCTAGTGGTTTCTGTTTTATATCTAAGTTATTGCACACTTTGAGTTAACGAGGCGTTAAGAGACCCTTCCTGGCATAACAATATGCTCTGTGGGGAGAGGGGAGCATGCACACAACCACAGTGTCAAAGTCAGCCCGGCCAATGACCCCACCCCACCCCCTTTTTGAGACACAGTCTCATTACTGGCTGTCCGGGAACTCACAAAGATCTACCTGCCTCTGCCTTCCAAGTGCTGGGATTAAAGGCATGCACCAATTGTCAATAAACAAAAGAGAACTCCACCCATATTGATCTGAAATCCCTGACCTTCCCATGGATCCTTTTTCTGGTCTCTGAAGCTAGCCAGGGTAAAGAAAGAACCATGCAATGTATATATTGGACTTCTATATAAGCCACTTAGCTTCAGTGGCTATCACAGGATATCACAGGCTGGGTTGTTTAAATGGCAGAAATCCATTTTCTCGTAGTTCAAAAGGTGGAAGTCTAGATATCATGATGCCAGCACAGTAGGTCCTAGGGAGGGAGATTTCCCCACTATGTGCTCGCATGCAGATGATGGAGACAGCAAGCTCCACCAAGACGCCCCTCAAGAGGATACTCATGATAACGTCACAACCTCACCTAAACCAATCACCTCCCACACATCCACGTTGAGATTTCTACAAAGATGATAAAGACAGTGATTCTCTTCAGGTGTTGCCTGTTTTCTACCACTCATTGAGAAAACCACCTCTCCTGAACTCTAAGAGTTATTTTGTTTCAAAATTGCTAGACAGATCTGCGGTCTACAGTCACGGGCCAGTCTGACTTCTCCAGCAAATACAGTTGGTAAGTAAATTAAACCTCTGGCTGTAAATTAAACCTTCAGCCAAGTTCAGCCATCTGACAGACTGCCCCTCCCCAATATGGTCTGTGTGGCAAGCAGAAGATGAGGTGCTCCTGGCACTTGAGTGTGAAGCAGTCTTCCACAAGAGCATGGCTCAGCTCTGCTTAAAGCCTGGACAGGGTGAAAGAATGTGTCTAAGTGTGTTGGCTCCCTCTTGGGCTAAAATAGTGTTGCCATAGAGAAGTTCAAAACACAACACATTACGTTAATAAAGTTATTTGAGCTGAATGTAGTAGCATCCATCTACAATCCCGGCATTTGGAGCACTGAGACAGGATGATTGTGAGTTTGAGGTCAACCTATGTAGCAAGCCCCTATCTCAAAAAAAAAAAAAATCAAAGTTCACACAACATCTGTGGTTGAAAAACACATTCGAAGTAGCAATTCGGTCTTCATGCTTATCCTCTGAGCCATTGACACCAGGACCTTTGTATGTGGACCCCACTTATGAGGGCCTTGTTTATTTATTTATTTACTTATTTGTTTGTTTTGTTTTTTGAGACAGGGTTTTACTATGTAGCCTTGCCTGTCCTGGAACTCACTCTGTAGACTAGGCTGGCTTCAAACTCATAGATCTTCCTGTCTCCCAAGTGCTGGGATTCAAGGCCACACTGTGCAGCCGCCACTTGATTTTATAAAGACCTTTTAAACAGACATTGTTTCTGTACCTCTAGGAAGATATGATGGGGGGTGTGTGGGGGGGTTAGTACCCAAACCACCTATTAGGGAACGAGGTCAAAAGTCAAACTCAGATTTCTTCCCCTAGGACTAGGCTTCTCCATCACCACAAAATGCATATAAGTGAAAATTTAGCAAGTAAAATTGAAATACCATTGGCCAGTGCAGCCTGGACGTGTGTGCATGGTCCACACTGACTCCTGAGATCCTTCAGGCTTCAATATCTAAACTGTGGCCCTGAGGCTCCTTAGCATGGTATCAGTTAGCTGGAGGGAATGAAGATACACAGAGTGGCAGGTAGGGTGGGGACTGGAGGCTTGTGGTGGACCAGATCACCAGCCCCATGTCCTGCAGCAAAACTGAGCACTAGACAGAGGCAAAGCCGAGCATCTCACTAAGGCGGCAGCTGAATGCAGCTCCGCTAAGCAGCCAGCACTCCACAGAACAGAGCCTTCCCTCATCAAAAAACAAGTAAGAGGCATGTGTGTGTATGTGTTTGTTTGTATATGTATGTATGTATGTATGTACGTATGTATGTGTATGTACGAACTTGTGTGTGTGTGTGTGCACGAACGTGTGCCCATGGAGGCCAGAAGGTGTCAGATCTCCTGAAGTAGGAATACAGGCAGTTGTAATCTGCCAGATATGGGTGCTGGGGACTGAACTAGTGGCCTCCTGGAAAAGCAGCAAGCTCTCTTAACCACTGAATGGTTTCTCCATCCCCAACAAGGTTTCCTGAATTGCTTGTACTATGGTTTTATGGAATAAAAAAATGGAATAATTTTCCTTCCAAACAGTTGCTTCCAGTTGGCGGCCATTGTGGATTGACTACAACATATCCCTCACAGACTCTCATGGTCCTCACTCCCTGGCTGCCGGCATTACTGGAGAGACTGTGGATCATCTGAGAAAGTAATGCCTGGCTATTGGCAGTATGTTCCCCAGAGAAGGGGCTCTGAAGATTTCCCCTCGGTTCAGTGATTTCAGCTTCCTGTTCAGCCATGATGGGAGCCGCCTCACCGCGTGCTCTCACAGCACGAGCGCCATGCTCTACCCACCATGGTGGACCAAGAGTCACAGTAAGTATGTATTCTGTTCCATTGTCTGATGTTTTGGTCATAGTGATGTAGAAGCAACTCACACTTATCTTGCTAACCTGTCCCCTTCCCTGAGTCATTTCAATTCCATGGGTTGTTTTCTCCCAAGATGCGCCAGGAAGGCAGGAATCAAGAATGTTTTTGTTGTATATTCTTCAAATGAAATTAGGCAGGTGATGTAAAAGTACTACTTTTCAACTAGTAAGAATTTTAAAATGCAGGTCACTCCGATTGCTTTCTTAAATGGTTATTTTACCGCTAACCAAATAAAAGAGCTGTAATGTAGTAGACATGAAACATCTTTCCCTTAATAGAGAGAAAACTTTGTATTGCAAAGTGCATTTTTCATGCTGGGAGGAACTCTTACCTGTGTCCCCTGGCACGCCCCACTGTCCTGATCAGTGCTAACCAGCATCCTGGTCTCCTTTCTCCGGGAAGCAGCTGGTGGCCGGGGCCTGGTATTCATCACTAGGGAGAGAGACTAGAGTGTTATCAACAACCAAATTTGTATAAATGTCCATTACCCTATATGCAGGAAAAGTGTGAATTTGTGTTGAGATGGGCTGCTTAAGTTTAAAATTTCAGCTCAGGGACTGAGCCGACTGTTCCCTTGGGCATAAAACTAGAAATTTGGAAGCTTCTCATCGATGTAAGGCATACTTTTGAATTTCAGCATTCATCTGTCTAAGCAGTATGTCTAAATGATAATAGATATTTTTTATTTATGGAGCTGGATGTGGCATCCTACACCTGAATCCCTGGTACCCAGGAAGCGTAGGAGGAGCTGCCAACAGAAAGAGCAGGAGTTTGACAGAAGCTTGATACACTAGTTCGAAGATCTTGTCTTTTAAAATGTTTGACATCACAGAGCAGGCCCTGCTGGTAGCAGACTGGAAGTCTGAGATCAGTCTGGGCAACCTAATAAGACTGCCTCAAAACTGTTATTGTTGTTGCGATTGCTTTTGTTTGGGTTTTGTTTCAAATAAAGAGCTGAGGATATAAGTGTTAGACTACTTGTCCAACATGCTTGTGGACCTGGGTCCAATTAAGATGCAATAAAAAAGATGCCATTGTAGTGTATGTGTGTGTGTGTGTGTGTGTGTGTTAGTGCCTGCAGGTGTGTACATGTGGGGGGCTCATGCATATATGTGTGTGTGTAGGTGTGCATGCATGCTTGTGTGTGCAATGGTGCGTGTGTACAAGTATACAGATTTGTGTGAAGGCCAGAGATTGTTATCAGGTCTGTCTCAATCACTCTCCACCTTTAAAAAAATAGGGTCTCTCACTGCCCAGGAGCTCACTAATTCAGCTAGGCTGGCCAGGCAGCGAGCCCTGTGGATCCTTGCTCTGTCTCCCTGATGTGGGGATATCATGCTCTGCTCCACACCTGGCTGTTACACGGATGCTAGGGATGGAACTGAGGACCTCATGCTTGTACAACAAGCACTTCATTGGCCGAGCAGACTTTCCCAGTCTCACACTGCTCTTTTTAAAATATAGACAATCCCTAAGGGCCAAGAGCAGCTTTGACAGCAGGCACACTTCTAAACTGACCTTGGAAATGACTCGTTTTATCTTCACACAAAGGTGTTTCCAACGAGGAAACCAGTTTGCGTACTCTAACTCCTGCAGACAGTTTAAACCCTTTGCCTAAGCTGCGTGGCTGTCTGTGTTCATCCAGAAAGACTGACAGCCTATGAGTTTCCCCAGAAGACTTCAGATCTGATGGCATACTGACAGAGAGCTCACTGTGAAAGCCCATGTACCAGCTGGGCCACCTTCTTGGAGCTGCCTTCAGGGCATGGCACCCACAGACCCAAGCTAAGAGTCCTTCCCTCCAACACTCTACCCATTTGTCACATACATGCATACTCAGTTCTTAGCAAGAGGCCAACAGTCAATAGTTATAGTAATGCATAGTAGTCACTCTAGTGTGAGAGACAGGCCCTGACAAGAACCAAGGGAAAAACTCTGTAATCCTTAGCAGGGACCCAGTTCCCAGAGGGGCCAACTCTGCAGAAAGAACATCACTGGTGCTCATTTTATTTAAAAAAAAAAAAAATATCCTTCATTGTGTTAATAAAATTATTAGAAATCAATACAGCTTTAAAATCTCTAACCACAGTCTGTTTTGAGAGCTCAACCCAGAAGAAAAACAGACCACCTGTTGCTTCCTAGAACTGCACGCTCAAAGGAACAAAAACCCCCAAGGAAGAGGAGAAGAAATATACAAACACTTAAATTTTATCTTCTGGAGCTTTTCTTTAGTCTCCACTCCAAGAGCTTCCTCCTGAACCAGTTTCCAGAAATCCTCGTAGTCGCTCGTGTTCTTCAGGATCCCGCGTTTGGTCAGCTCGTTTTGCAACCCTATAATCTTATTTCCAAAGAGAATGGGCATAGAGATAAACCCATAATACAGAACGACATTTTAAATGACAAATTGTAAGCCAGAAGCTGAGAGAAAACATTAATCGTGTTTCTGAACATCAGAGTGTAACTTCTGGGTAACCTCAGCTTACTCAGCTCAGGCAGACTGTCAAGAGGGACACAAGAATTAATACCATACACCACGCTTTTAAAGTTTTCTCTCCCTAAGTTCTGTGCATTCACTTACATTTCAACAATTAAAGGGACCAATCAGAAGGCAGGCAGCCAGAGTTCTTTTTTTTTTTTTTAATTTTTTTTAAGCTAATTAGTAGCAACCTGAAGTTAACACTAGCTTGGCTGAGAGGAGGGCTGGGCTGAAGACAACCAGAAGAGCTTCTAATATTTTCTGTGACCACCACCCTCTACCCTAATTGTCACATAGAAGCATTCTATTTGCTGTGCTTGCCAATTTAGCAGAAAGGAGGTCTTGGGATTCTTCGTCTGTCCACTATATTTGAAATATAATTCTGCTTTGTAGATACACGGACCCATCTCTAGGACCACTCTTAGGTGAGTCTCAGACACATCGCGGAACAGCTGCCTCCAACACTGTGCTGGGGAGAAGCCTCCCATGAGCCCGGGGACTTAGAACTTGAGGGAAGCCAGTTTGTGAAAAGGCAAATGCACCCATTTACTTTTCTAAGCGGCTTTTATAAGCAACCAAGGCCATAGCTGTTCGATGGAAAGGCCATTCCAAAGTCACTTTCTCTGCAGAGATTAACCCCTGGACTTCTTGGGCAGCCTCGGGTAAGGGAATCTCTTCTGGAAGCTGGCAGACACAGAGCTTAGCTGGAGTTCAGGACTATTATGAAATATAATGCGGCGGCGAGGGGTTCCCTGGTGGGCCCATGCCAAGGTATGCCCCTGAGAAGTTATGCGGGCAACAGATCTGGGATAAAGGGGCCTTATTGGGGGAAGGGAGAGGAATGACGACCTGAGAAGACGTAGAAGCAATGAGCAGGCCTGGAGGACACAGAGATAGAGGCACAAAGAAGGTGAGGAAGGGCGCTCAGAGGACAGAAGAAAGGGAGAAACAGAACAGAAAGGGCTGGCGTGGCGGGTAGTCCTTTTATACAAAGCGCAGACCGGCGCACCTGGCACCAGGCAAACGTTGGTGTAAGTCACTGCTAGGTCCCTGAGAGGAGCCTAGTGGAATCGTCTATAAGCTAACAATGCACCTAGAACGACAGACCATTGAGTTTGATCTGATCTGTGGGCGGAGGGGAGGGGGCGCTGAGCACACTCTCTTGCAAAACAAAGTGGCCTGAGATTTAACAAATCCAAGAGAAAAATAAAAATCGGCCATGCACTGCCCTCTAGCTACCGGGTTGGTTGGCGTTCATTCGTTTGTTTTTGGATGATCAAAGCGCAGCTTACATTCCACAGACACCACTCGAACCTCGTCTAATTTTTGATGCAGAAATGGGAGGAAGGTTAAGCTGGTTTTCTGTGGTGACTATGGACTACCTCAGATTCAGGCTGTGGCTTTCTAAAGGAAGAACTCTTACCCCCTCTGCAGGACACGTGATTAAAGGACCAGGGCTGGAGGTCGGAGGATGGGGGTGGGTGTCCCTGCCTACTCAAGCTGAAAGCTAGGCCCGGAGGCTCACCGGTGTGTAGAGCTTGGTAAGAGGTGTTGGGTCTCCCTCCCCTCTGCCTGTTAGGCAGGTGATTGGCGGTTGTCTCCGGTGGAGGGATTTGTGACAAATGCCTGCCTGACCCAGCAGGGAACAGGTTCCCCTTTCCTGAGCCTTTGGGATGCGCAGTGTGCTCTTGCTCACAAGAGTTCGTGCCCAGGGTCCTGTCTTACCAGGTAGGTGTTGGACCGGGGAGGGAACCCGGTTGAGGCCTTGGGCGGGGATACTGGCCAAGCTTCGGACTGCAAACAAGCAAAGAAAGGTGGTGAGCAAGGCGAGCGGTGGCCAGGAACAAAGCCTCAGGCAAAAGAGAAGTAAACAAGCAACCACAGGAAGCCATTAAGCAGAGTGGGCGCTAATGAGTGCGCGGCGGGGCCCTGCGCACCCGCCCCGCCAAAACCACCGGGGACTGCCTCGCCGGGCAATTTGGAGCCCAGAGCCCTGCTGGCAGGCTATAAACCTGTTTGTAGTCTCCATCGGTTCCCCCTTCAAGTTTGTGTCGTTAGGGGTGAGGAGGAAAGACCATTGGATGCTGTGATCTCTTCTCAGGACCTGCAGTTGCAGGGGGCAGATGGGCTTCCAACTCCAAGGTAAAGGACTGCCTGCCTACCCATCCCCCACCTCCAACACACCCTTTGCTGGCCACGGTGGGAGACCAGGGGTGTCAAGTCCAGAGTCTTTTGAAACGTTTTCTCCTTTTAAAAGAAGTTATTTGAGTTCCCTAACGTTCCGCAGAGTTTCCGCCAAGTTGTAAACCATGCTTCCAAATTGCTTAAAGGAGCAGAGGCTTGTCTAAGATACTTCAAAATGCTTACCGCTGGGCTGGATTTCTTCCACGGCAGGGGTGGGTCCCAGCCTCTTGCAGACGCTGTAGGGGCGGCCCTACTTCTAGCGCACATTCCGAGCATCCTCAGGGATGCAGGTCTTCGGACCTTCTTGTCCTTACAGCAGCGACACCCAGCGGCCATGCTTTGCGCCTGCCATTCCAGGTCCTGGGTACCCAGAACCTTAGACAGCCTCACAGCCTCACAGGTCCTTCTCAAGGACGGATTCCCCAAACCACACACACACACACACACACACACACACACACACAGAGAGAGAGAGAGAGAGAGAGAGAGAGAGAGAGAGAGAGGTTTAGGAATTCCCAGCCTTTAAAGCCCTCGCATCTGAGGTGGTTGAGGAAGTGTGTGGGAAAACCAGCTGAGGAGAAGTTTCAGGAGGGCTCTAGATGTATGTGCAGATGTTCTCTTAGAATCGCCTAAAACTTGTTTTCGATCCTTTATGGGAAGATAGAGTTGTATCACATAAGTAGATCGCCGTAAACACCTTAGTCATATTTAAAGAGCCACAGGAAATCACTTTAAATGACCCCAGTAGGAACTATGGTAAAGAGTGCATATCATCTGGGGTCCCTGAGTCAGCCTGGGCACACATGCCTTGCTGGGGTCCGAGTGTGTGCACACAAATGTCCACACACGTCTTCGCTTTCATTTCTGTCAATTCATTTTGCTCAACGAAAATAAATTCAAATTTTTTTTATTTGTAAATTTCATGTGCCATGCACTGAACATTAGAACAGCATATTACCAGTTTGTAATGCAATTCCTGACACATTAATTTTAATTGAACTAGCAGGAATTTAATACAGGACACACATACATGCACATACACACACACACACACACACACACAGAGTTCTGAATCTACAACTTCTCAATATATTGGATTCGATGCCTTCTTCAGCCTTCAGCCCCTACTGTAGCTAGGAGACACAGTTCCTAGTAATTTTACTTAACATATCATAGTACAGATGTGTAGTTTGTAATAATGCAAAGTGCACAGGAATCTTAAAACATCAGATTTCCCTACCTCACCCCCAATGCAAATTTACAGTGAAAATACGTGGTCCACTTCCATTGACTATTACATGTGACCAGGTAAGGAACAGAAGAATAACCACCATCCAAGAGAAGGCTGTGTACCCCTTCCCCTTTCCTCCTCTCCTTTGGATATATAGCTTTGACAGGTTCCCTTCTCGTTTGTTGTGAGAGCTCTCTCAGAACAATGCAGGGCATCCAGAGACTCTTCCTTACACAAACCTCAGGTCTCCTGGGAGATTCTCCTTTGTTGTTTGAAGACTAACTCAGTCTCCCAGAATTCTCCACATCAAAAGAAGTGTTCAGTAGCTTGGTGGTTTGTTGGCTTATATCTATCTGTAACCAGAATTTTCAAAGCCTCTATACCACACCCCTTAATTCATTTCCAGGGCTCACACCTGAAAAGGAAGATAAATCCATCCACAGGAAGATGAAAATTCAATTACCGTGTGAAATTTCAGCTCTTACCTGTTATAATTGTTGGTATCTATATGCTATATTTTTATAAAGTAAATTCTGCAATGCAAACTTTGCCTTTTTCAGGATATATATATATATATATATATATATATATATATATGCGCTGAGGGGTGTGTTTGTTTGTTTGTTTTCTAGAAAAGGTTTTCCTGTGTACCTCTAGCTATCCTAGAACTCTCTCTGAATATCAGGCGGGCCTCAAACTCAGAAACTACCCTGCCTATGCCTCCCAAGTGCTGGGATTAAAGGTTTGTACCACAACTGCAGAGCTGACTCTTTGAATATTTTAAGAAAATATTTCCCATAGAAACATAGAACGAAATCTATAAATACAAAAAAAAAAAATTTAAATCTTTTTTATGCTGGGGTAAATTGTAAAAAAAAAAAAAAAAAAACTTGGAAGAACTTAGAAGAGTCGGCTCTGGCACTGGCAAGAAACATAGGAAGGCAGAGGACCGGAGAGATGTTCAGCTACAAAGAGACTAGGAGGGTTTCTTCGTGCCTTCAGAGACCTCTGGTTCCCTGACCCCACCACGGGCAGCTCGCAACCTGTTACTCCAGCTCTGAGAAACCTGATCCCCTCTTCTGGCCTCCAAGGGCAGCCATACATGCACATGCTCATACATGAATACATATAAAATCTTCTCAAAAGCTAGAAGTCAGGAGAGCAATTCTGTGACGTTGGGTAGATAGACTCTCTAGCCTGCCCATAAGGCAGGCGTCTATGGTGAGACTGACAATGTTACTGTTTAACTGGAACTCGGATCCCAAACTGGAACTTCATCTAAGATTAGAGGTGAAGATTTCTTTCCAATGTAAAGACAGCTACACCGGCTGTGGTCTGTGGTCTTGTGGGATGATAAGCTGATTTACATTATTGGCAAACATGATTCAGCCTTTTTTTGGTAGGGTAGTTTGTTTTAATTCATCAAACACACTTTATGCTGCCCGTACACTCATAGAGTTATGGCATTCACTAGAAGGTGGCCTACCCAACCCGGGCCACACTCTTTGTCTTGGTTAGGGTTTTACTGCTGTGAACAGACACCATGACCAAGGCAACTCTTATAAGAACAACATTTAACTGGGGCTGTCTTACAGGTTCAGAGGTTCAGTCCATTATCATTAAGGCGGGAGCATGGCAGCATCCAGGCAGGCATGGTGCAGGAGGAGCTGAGAGTTCCACTTCTTGTTCTTAAGGTGGCTAAGAGAAGACTGGCTTCCAGGCAGCTAGGACGAGGGTCTTAAAGCCTATGCCCACAGTGACACACTTCCTCCTACAAGGCCACACCTACTCCAACAAAGCCACACCTCCAAATTGTGCCACTCCTTGGGCCAAGCACATTCAAATGAACCACACCCTTAAAACTGACTCTCTCTCTCCAAGCAAAGGTCACCTGCCAATAGCCCTTAGCTAGGGGTGAGAGGGGCTGCATGTCACACACACACACACACACACACACACCAATGCTGTAATTTTGTTTGGCCCAAGTCCCGAGTCTTGTGCACAGTGTCAACTGCTGTGGATTCATATGTGCAGCTGCCCTACTGTGTCCAAAATGTATTGTTTCCTTGTAATCATCCACCACTGATGGCTCCTATAATCCTCCTGCCCTCTCTTAAGGATTGTGATGGAGGTATCCCATCCAGAGTTAAGCTTTGCAGAATTTCTTATTCTCTGCACATTGGTCAGGAGTGGGTGGCTGTTAATTGATTGCCATCTACAGCTGGTAAAAGCTTCTCTTGGGATAGATGACCAATCCACTAATCTATGGATGTAATAATATGTCAGTAGGAATCAGCTAAATACTATGTCTCTGGGGCCCATGACCTGTCTAGCCACAGGTTCTTGGCTCCTATAATGGGGCCAGGTATGGGTTTGAATTGGTGGAGTAGCACTTAAATTCAATCAGAAAATGTTTGGTCATTCTCAGAACATTTGTGTGTCTATTGCACCAGCAGGCATGTCTAGCCAGGCCAGTCATTACCACAGCTCACAGCGTTCTCGGCTGGGTAAAGCTGATGACCACTTTCCTCCTCTGTTAGCGCACAGAGTACTCTCCAGCCCTATAAAAGCTACCTAGTAAGGATGAAGCTTCCGAGTTAGTGCCAGCATGATTTCTCCATGGTGATTTGTTTTTTTAAAGATATATTTTGGGGGCTGGAGAGATGGCTCAGTGGTTAAGAGCACTGACTGCTCTTCCAGAGGTCCTGAGTTCAAATCCCAGCAACCACATGGTGGCTCACAACCATCTGTAATGAGATTTGATGCCCTCTTCTGGTGTGTCTGAAGACAACGACAGTGTACTCATAAATAAAATAAATAAATCTTTAAAAAAAAAAAAAGATATATTTTTTTTGTATATTTGTCTGTATACTACATGTGCAGTCCCTGTGGATGTCAGAGAGGGTTGTCAGAACCCCTGGAACTGGAGTTAGAGATGGCTGTGAGTCACCATGTAGGTGCTGGGAATTGAACTTGGGACCACCAGAAGAGGAGAGTGTTCTTAACCACTGAGCCTCTTTCTGTGGTCTGTCATTCAACTATGTGGAGTCTTAACAATAAGGTCTTACTGTCAAGTTCTGGAGGATGACTGAGAACATCGGCTTGGCCTATAGTTTCTGGGTCCCAGAGCATCAGCCTGTCGTGTTTGTGGATTCTAGAACACTGGCCTGTAGGGTTTGTGGGTCTAGGACTTCAATGACCAACAACTCCAAAGGAGAGTCAGTCTTAACATCTAACTTATCCCCTTGGCAACTATTTTGTTGAATTGAATCTTTGCCATGCATTTTTTTAGATTTATTTATTTTACTTTGTGTTTATGAATGTTTTACCCACATGCATGCATATGTAGAGAGAATATCTGTGTGTTGCATGGATGCAT